GTAGCTGGGGTGAGTACAGGCTGCTGGGTCATACCTTCGTGTGCTCACGTGCCTTGCCTTGGCCCGGGCACGTCTTACAGCGTAGGTAAGAGAGTTTCGTGGTTGACGTTATCCACGTAAACAATGTACACGTCGTTTTCCCCTCGTAATTATTAAGAAGGCACACAACAGGTAGGCCCACCAGCTTAGGGAACGAAAATTTACCCTGTTGTTATAAGATATAGAAGGGTTGTCTTCCCCCTGTGTTCATATATTAAGGCATTTTCAGTGCATGTTGGCTTGAGTTTAAAGAAAGGCTTTATAAACACAAGTCCTGTTCCAAAGAGAAGAAGAGAATCTGACTGAATTATATTACACAGGAAATAAGCTGGAGATGAGGCACTGTTTTTATTGTCAATAAAAATGGTTGACAGTAAGAAGATTGCCAGCACAACTTGAATATTGTGATAGCTGGATTCATCTAAATTCATTAGACGCATTTCCCACGCTCAGGTGGCGGGATTAGATTTTTATAGTAGGAACACTGGCAATATAATAGTGGGCCTGTGGTGTCAGACTTGTTTTTATAGTTTTCTAGGTCTGGAGTTGTGAATGGGGACAGGGATTGGAGTTTGGTGAGGGTATGGGTGGGGTTAGGGGCGATAGCAAGTAATGGCAACAGTACGAGCAGTTGCACCACTAGAGGGCGCTCATCCTGCAGAATCCTCATACCAAAAGAGGTAACAATGAAAGTAATGTATGCATACAGTATGAGATGTACTCACTTCTCTCATCCCAGCCGGCCGAAACGCCCAGGGCGAACAAAGCCCCTACACAGAAGATGACCAGTGGGGCATTCCGCCAGTATCCCGGAAATCTGCTTCTTGAGTACATTTTGTCACAGCAGCGGTCTCAGAAATTCCTTGAAAATATTACATTCGTACTCATATCAAAGACGAGACCAAGGGGTAAACCAGATAAAGAACAAAATCACACGTTGAGGAACGATGCACTTAACAATTCCACTCTAAGTATCGCCAACTACTTAGATTTCTAGGTAAACGAAAGTTAAAGTGTCTAAACAGACGCACTAAAGTAGAATCTAATATTATTATCAAATCTGCGCATGCCTGAAAATTCGGCTTCCGGGAAAAGGGTCCAACAAAAGTCAGGAAAAAGAGCAGCTCACTCACACGAAGTCACTCCACCGTGATCCGATTTCCTTCACGCCGTATTCTTGTAAACGCTCACACGTTTTGGCTCACGTCTAATTTTCACCGCAAGTTTTAACACGCGCGAGGTAGGCGTTTATTAAAAGACCACGGCAAGCGCACGGTAAGCCTGACAACAAAAGAAGCTGCGAGAGTGAAGGGAGTAAGAAGACACAAGCCGGAGAAAAAGCGAGGGTCTACAAAAGCTGGCGTTTGGGTGAGCTCTTTCTTTCTCTACGACAACAGCTGCTGGCACGGTGGGATGGAGTACTCAGAAGTCGTGCACACAACCGTTCGATTTAATCGGCCCAACTTCAAGGGCAGGATAAGAAAGATTTGATTAGTGTAAAGATTTTAACAAAGATAAGTAGGGCTGCTATGAGTCGAAAATTGCAGCAGGAATTATTCTTTCGTAGGGATAATATCACTGTAGTCGAAACTCGTTTTGTGATATTTCCACAGGTACATTTTTTTGCTTCTTCTTACACAACTTAGTTACACACACATACAACACACACACACACACACACACACACACACACACACACACACACACACACACACACACACACAAACACAAACACACAAACACACACACGCATAGTGTGTCGTTTGAAATGTATTTGTAGTAACAGGTAAAGGTAGAGAGAAAGGACGAGAGAGAAAGAGAGAGAGAGAGAGAGAGAGAGAGAGAGACAGAGAGAGACAGAAAGATAGAGAGAGAGAGAGAGTGAGAGAGTGATACAGACAGACAGGCAGACTGACAAACAGACAGACAGACAGACAGACAGACAGGCAGGCAGGCAGGCAGGCAGACAAACAGACAGACAGATAAAGAGAGAGAAATATGGGGGGGGGGGGGTAGAAGAAGGACAAGTTACAAAATGAAGACTTAAAGTGAAATAGAAAGAAGTAACAAAGAAAGACAAACAAACAAACAAAGATAGTGAGAGAATAAGGTAAGGGAGAAAGAAAGAAAGAAAGAAAGAAAGAAAGAAAGAAAGAAAGAAAAAAAAGAGAGAGAGAGGGGAGAATGAGAGAGAGAGAGAGAGAGAGAGAGAGAGAGAGAGAGAGAGAGAGAGAGAGAGAGAGAGAGAGAGAAAGACAGAGAGACAGAGCGATACAGATAGACAGATAGAGAGATATAGCGAAAGATAGGGGGGAGGGAGACAGAAAAAGATAGACGGATAGACAGAGAGAACGAGAGAGAGCCTGGAAGAGCGAGAGAGAGCAAGAGAGAGAGCGAGAGCGAGAGAGAGATAGAGAGAGAGAGAGAGAGAGAGAGAGAGAGAGAGAGAGAGAGAGAGAGAGAGAGAGAGAGAGAGAGAGAGAGAGTACAACTCCCTCAGTAGAATGGCGGACACACAGAATCTCTTTGTTATTTGAAGTGGAGGGGGAGGGGGGGTGGTGGATTTCGACTGCTGGTATCGTGCCTCTCATGCGCCACAACGAGTGTGGTATATTGCCAGCATCTTTTCTTTGTACATACTTTGTCTTCTGTCCAGCACTTCTCTGCTTGTCCTTTGTACCGGTCTTCCAGTCACACAAAAAAATCCACCCAAGAAACCCGACAATGTGCAGCCGGCATTTTGATGAGCTCAGGGTGCATACCCCTACCCCTCTCCCTTTCTCTCTATGCGTCACTCTCTCTCTCTCTCTCTCTCTCTCTCTCTCTCTCTCTCTCTCTCTCTCTCTCTCTCTCTCTTTTTTTTCATTGTCTCTCTCTCGCACTGATAATGTCTCGCTCTGTCTCTGACTTTCTCTCGCTCCCTCTTTATCTGTGTGTGTGTGTGTGTGTGTGTGTGTGTGTGTGTGTGTGTGTGTGTGTGTGTGTGTGTGTGTGTATGTGTGTGCGTGTGTGTGTGTATGTGTGTGTCTGTCTCTCTGTTTTCTTTTATTATCTGTTTTTTGTATGCCTGTCCGTCTGTCCGTCTATCCGTCTGTCCGTCTGTCCGCATGTCCGCCTGTCCATCCCTCTCTGTCTCTTCCTTTCTCTGTCCTGACAAGCAGCCTGTAACATAATTTCCCCAAAGAGAACACGTTCATCTACATAATCTTCAAGCCTATTCTATTTATAACCAGTCAAATGTTCTCTCATACCTTGTTACTTAAATCCTCAGAAAGAATACTATTAATTATGAACATTGTTTTAATGAAACCGTATCATTGCACAATTAGCTGAGCAGGGACATAATTGGTAATACATGGACAAGGAAATTAATAGCATTCATTTTGAGCTGGTCCCCGCTTAACAGCAAGGTCTGTATATAGCATCCCTCCAACAGACCATAGAATACTAAGAAACATTATGGGGGCTCTCGTGGCCTAGAGGTTAAGGTGTTGGCCTCTCATTCAAAGGTCCCGGGTTCGAATCTGGGTAGCGACCGAACAATTTTCTTCTCTAAAATTGTCTCTTTTCACCTCCTTTCCTGCTCTCTAGCAATGTTCTGTTGTCTGCTTTCATTTCCACTTTCTGCCCCCGCCCCCTCACCTCCTTTGCCCCCTCCTCTGGGGTCCTGACTCTTTCTGCAGCCTTTCTACTGCTACTCCTTAGCTCCTCCTTACTGCTGTCTTTCTGCCACACCCCTGATCTTCTAGTAGGAAAGATCTACACCTAGCCTTCTCGGACAAGGGCAAAAAAATCTCGGAGGGCCCGTGTGCAAGTTGCGCACGTTAAAGATCCTTTGGTGGTCTAAAATCGATAAGAGTAGGCTTCGGCCGCCACCCGGGCAAAATTCAAAATTTCCTACCAACTGAAAATATTAGGTGTGTCCCGCGCGCTCATATGACCTATGCAGTTGCGAGCGCCGTAAAACACTTTACAAAAAAAAAATATATCCCTTGGTGGTCCAAAATCGATAAGAGTAGGTATTGGCCACCACAAGGGCAAAAATCTGAATTTCCTGGCAACTGAAAATGTTTGGAGTGTCCCGCACGCTCATATGACTTTATGCAGTTGCGACCAGTTGGTAAAACACTTACCCCCCCCCCCCCCCCCGCACCACCCCCCCAAAAAAAGTAACAAACAAACAAAAACTATTATATTTATATAAACAATTAAATGTTCTCTCATGTCTTGTTACTTAAATCGTCAGGAAGAATAATATTAATGATGAAATTTGTTTAATAAAACCTCATCATAGTAGAAATCGCTGAGCAGAGAGGGGGACATAATTAGTAATACATAAATTATAATGAAAATGAAACATTCTGCTATCAAACACTAACAAACTGGCAAGATCTTTTGCTGTCGCTGTGACCTTATTTATGTAGTTGCGACCCCTTTTTCTTTGTACGTTCTGACTTTCCTCTAGCCTCAAATCTGTGACCATTTATTTGTGGTGTAGCGGTGAATGGGGCACTTTACCATCGTACGCAGAGGACATGAGCTCGATTCTCTTGAGGGAACAATTTTCTTTCGAGTATCTCGGTCGTTCTGCTGGGACAATGCATCTCCTACAGCCCTTGTCCGTCGTTAAAGGCAGGGTGGAAGCCCGCCTCTTAAATGGTTTAAACGGTGTTGATCAGGAGTGTAAAACACCTACTTTTAGATTTAAAAAAAAAAGAGATCTGAACTTGGCAACGATAGACACCCTAAGCTCCAGAGTGAAGGGCCTGCATTTACAAGAACATAAATATTTTTTTGGTCAGATTGTCAGATGTATTTAGCTCAACATTTTGAAAATTATAAATTGCTGTTTCTTAATCTGTTGTCTTTATTGCATGTGCTTGAGAAATATTTGGTCAAAATTCAAATTCTAAACGTTGAGAAAAACAAACAAACAAAATAATCTTTTAAAAAAACCAAGAGACGATAACAAACTGAGGGTAAATTCGTAAAACAGTAAAACATTTTTGTTCTCTCCTGAAAATGTTAGCTTTCAAAGCATAGAGCAGTTGATCAGCTTCCAGACAATTTGCATCTAACAGGGTGTTATTAAACTCACACAAAATTGAATCGAAGCAAATCTAGATGCTAGCACTTCTATTTTCTGGTTTTAATGCTTGGGTCTTTTACTGCTGAAACTATGGCAACAGTGTTTCTGGCTTGGGTTAAAATGAACTACTTTTCAGCTGCCAGGTATCCTTTTATAACTTCAAAGAGTATTGAAATGGTAATGGACTTAGTTAAAAGACATACAATTTATCTCGAGGTCTTGGAAATATTGATTGTAAAAGACGGTACACCGTGGTTTTGCTTTTCGAGTTTTTGTTTTTTGTTGTTGTTTTTTTTCCATCAGTATTGTTCTTTTATCATGCCCCTTTAAATGTCACAGCTCATAGAATTCGTTTGATAATATCCTCGACTGCGCAATCTGACGTCACCCCCCGAGGCGGTGCTAATGACTGAAGTGTTTTAGACCATTCCCAAAGGGGGAACATTGACATCTCGAGTTCTTATGCACAGTAGAATTGTAATTGTATACGGGCTGATTCATCAATGTCATGCTCATAACTGTGCCTGAACTGCAACAGGGAACTGCTGCTCTTTCTTTCCTAGTCCTTACTATAGTCCTTTGTCCTCTACATCTTTTGTATGTTTGTCACACTCTTGTGACCCGCTATTTCTGGGGTGCCTTGATAGTCAAACCAGACTTTGTGCTGTTGAAGCTAGAGAGGCGATCAGAGTAAGTCTGATTCCCTGTAAGGACTTCTCTGTTGACATCCACCCCTTGGCGGTCATATGACCTTAAGCAGTTGCGAGCGCCGTAAAACATCTACTAAAACAAACAATCTGAGGAAATTTAAATGTACTATAGAGCAT